AAATCCCCTATGGTTTGAAGGCCTGCCGAATGCAATAGGCAAGGTGCTCCTTCCGAAATCCCAATGTTTGAAAGGCCTGCTGTCAAAAGCCAAACCGCATCATCTGACCGCTGACTGTGCTAGGCAAAATGCCTGCGAGAATCGCACACGATGCTGACCGAGCCTTGCGAAAGTCGACTCCATAACGCACATGAATTATTGCCTTTAGCTTCCGGACACCCTCCTGCTCTAATGTGTTTTTGTCGAGCCTTCGGAACTCCCTCTATTCATGGAATGCTGGATTTCCAAACGGCGATGTGCAAGTGCCACTACAATCCCACCCACGACCCCTATGTTTTTTGAATTAATGGTCTTCCGGGCGATCTTACTCTAATTCGCATTTTGCCCCCCATCCCAAACCCCCAGGTTATCGGAGATGCAACATTCCAACTTGGAAATATGTACGTGCCGGGATTTCTATCTTCACTTTCTACTTGTGTATCCAGGACACCCCAGAAAGTGAAAGTGAAGGCTCTGGCGGTTCTGTGGTACCCCACCCCATCATCTTCACTTTATAAGGAAGGGGGATGTCGGAACTCCCCTTGGGGTTTCATTACTCGATGGACATGCATCCCGAGAATCCAGTATCGACGCCTTGTATGCACACCTGAAGCATGCACACACAATGTCGGCATTCAAGCCTTGAGCGTTTTCGGCCCCCAACAACAAGCCAGACAAGAAACTGCAACAAACTCTGCGAGGAGCTGTCTGTTTTTGTGTAGCCCTTGGATTTAGATTCCGGAGTTCTTGCGAACTTGTACTGGGCCACCGCGCACTGACGCGGATGCGATCGCCGATCTTGCCAGTTCCCCACTTGTTCCTGCCTCGGCAAGACAGATGCTGCTAGCAGCTGGAGCACGGGGGGAGGACAAAGAGGAAGCCTGAAGGAAATGCGCCTCAATCTCAAGCTGGAGTTCCTGAACTTCGAGGCTTTGGTTCGGCAGCTTAGTAACAACCCTTGGGAGGCTGACAGTCCGGGTCGGGTTGGAGATGGCTGGAGGGCTAGGACAATCAGAGAACGTGGTCTCCCGAGGCTCGTCTCAAGATTCGAGTCTAGAAATGGTGCTGCGGCTCTCCGTCAAGCGCCCCTCCGATGTTGGAGCCCACTGCTTTTTCTGCTGCACCTCCAAACGCTCAAGCACGGTCCTTTCAAAACGACATCCCTGACCCTCCGAGCGTCCGCACCCAAACCGATGATGCAAGCCTTGATGATGCCTGTGTTGTCTGCACAGCGGACCTTAAGGCACACTGGAGTCATTCCTTTTGGTGTGGTGAAGGGCACTTGCTCCCGGAAGTTCACGAACCATCGTACACCTTCCACCCAACAAGTCCGGATGCAAGAGCTACGGCCTAATCGTTGGACATTCAGGTCAGAGGGCCACTTGCCCGGAGGAAACGGCGCCCCTCAAGACCCCGAATGCGGCAGAAAAGGCGTCCTCAATCCTTGAATCCACTGCGCGTTCGACCCAAATGGCCCGAAAGCACATGAGCACTGGGTGCGCCACAATGGACTGCTTCCATAAGCCCAGTCGCAAGGGGCTGAGAAGGAAGGCCATGGCTCAGCACTTGACTTGGCCGGCCGAAGGAATTTGCCTCCTATAATGACGTCACATGCTCAGGACCTTTTTCCACAGTGTGACTCCGGTCTGTGTATGGCTTGCTTGCTCTTTTGATAGAGGGTTTGTAAGGAGGTATCTTACGCACGCCCCCCTACTCAAATGCCTACCGTCCCACATTGCCATCGCAGCGCTGCTGCAGTTGTCATGTAGTCGTCGTTGCTCTTGCCGTTGCTGTTGCGTTTGTATTGCTTGTATTGCTATTTCTGTTGCTTTTGGTGCCGATGTTTCTGTGTTGGTGGGTCGAATACTGAACTTTGGTATGCTGCAGCTGGCCCTCAGACACAGCTCAATGATTTCAGGCTGTGCCGCAGGCTTGAGCAATGGCTCCCTGTTGCAAGGATCAGCGCTAAATGGATCTGAACGCCAGACCGCCCCCCTTCTTTGTGCCAGCCAGATCAAGGCTAGCGGCTACCGCGAAAGGCACAGGCCAACATGCAGCGAATACGAAAAACCTTTTGGGAAATGCTCGCCGTTCGCTTGCCCAGCCCACGGCATGCTGTGGTGCTTACATCGGGTCCATGCCGTCTCTTATGCGTTTCACTCAATCCGGCCGCGAGCTTTGTAGCAGCCATGAACTCAGCAAAGCTGGCAGTTCCTTCTCGGTGGGAGATGGTGGGTTCAAGCCCAAGCTGAATTTCTGGTGTACCTTTGTGTTCAAGCCCAAGCTGCCTTCAGTCCCTGGTCCGACGAATCGGCCACATTGAGGCTTGGATTCGCTTCGCGTCGCTTCAAGATGCGAGTCTACGCTGGTTCTTGCGTGCCTCCTCACTGGGATCATTCCCGGCATCAGACGCATCCACCGCTCAGTCGCGAACCAAGCGCGATTTTGAGGCGATCTCGCTCGCGAGCGACAGCTTCTGGACACCGCTGCCCTTGTCGCCTGCTGCTTGGGCGCCTCCTGCACCTGTTGTCCTTCTTGGGGTTCCCGTTTTGGGGCTTCATGGCACGCGGAAGCGCATGAACTGCTGCCCGTGCCTTCGCTGTTCGCCTTCGATGCCTCGTCCGCTTGACGGTCAAGGCTTGGGGCTCGGGGACTACATCTCATTGGATCTGGGTTCTTGAAAGCTCCGGAAGCCCAACAAAAGTCCAGAAGCAAATGGTGTGTATCTTCCTTCACGGAAGAGAGCCCAACAAGGGCCGAGCAAAAAGCAGAACCGTTTGCTGGGCATGGAAGGAGAAGAATCTGTGACAGAGACTGCCCGGTTTTTCCAAGCTTCTGCTTACTGCTACAGCTCCCGTCTAGGGGCCAGGCCTTCTTTTTTGGCTTCGGCACGCTGTCATCAGCGCCAGGCTCCGCGGGAGGCATGACAGGGCTAAGGTTGAGACTTGTTTGAAGCTACCCACTGAAACGTGAGCTTCGAGCCGCAATGAGCCGCAAGTAGCGACTAGACGTAAAATCACACATAGCACCTGGCAGAGAAGGTACAAGAAGAGCGCAAACCGCAGGATCGTCTGCAACGGCTTCTTAGGACGGCGGCAGAGACTCTGTCTTTCTCGGAGGCTGCAACTCTGAACCCATCAGCCCAATGGCTATTCCAAAGACACGGCGTGATCAGAGTGATGCTGGTCCCCATCACGATGAAAGCGGAGACACGATGAACATGAGAAAGTGCAAGTAGAGAGTAGCAGTAGCAGCTGTTGTTAGCCGTGATTAAGCTTTCAATTTTAGGTGATGGCGTTTAGGCTTTAGGCTCGGTTTGGGGCTTGGCCCGTAACCTGTTGAACCGAAAGCCTAGACGTCTGAAGCACGTGGTTGCGTCTCACGTGGTCGCAGCCTGTCAGGGCATCAGCTATAAAGTATCCAAAGTCTACACCCGGAGCTCTCGCTGCCTTATGCCAAACCGGACTTGCAAGCCGAAAGCCTCAACCCGCAGCCCGCCGGCTGTTCAGAGAGAAGGTCACTGCAAGGGCAACCCAGAAAACTCTACGTGTGCCTCGGAGTTTAGGTTCAGCTCTCTCCATCTTCGGATATGCCCGGTGTCACGCTGGAAACGAGCACTGCGTTGGAATTCAGTATGCATGTGCGTGTGTATATATACATATATACATATATGCACAAAAATTATTCCAATGATCATGCTAGCAAATCCTGCCTTGCGGTCATCCTCCCATGAGCCATGGCCGACCAAGTTGTACGTCTGCTCCTGGCAGCAAAGACTTGCAGAACCCCCCAATGCCCCCCGAAACAAACATGAGGGTGAGTCATTGCGACCAAGGACTTGAAGGATAAAGAAGATTAGCTTTCCGACATTCCGGCAGAATTGCATGTCGGAAACTGTGGACAGCGATTCACTGGACATCTTGGATGCAGCCTCCCCACCCTATACCGAAAAATCCCAGCATCCTCGCATGGCTTGTGTTGTTTGGCCGATCTCAACTCGTGGCTGTGATGTGCTCGGCATTGGGACTTCCGTGTTTTCTGAATGTTTTGACTTGAGAGTCCGGTGCCCAGAATTGGCACATCGAGGGCTTCGACACTCTGGGCTTTCCCGGACCGGAGACTCGAACTTCCGTTTTCAAGCTTCGTTTCTTCGCGGAAGTCGCTTGCGAACTCAGCCGCCGAAGCCCCAGATCAAGTAGCCGTGGCCTCAAATCAGTCCCACAAGTCTACAAGCACTAAATGACAAAGACTAAGACTTCCGCTTCCCGTCCCCGATTCCAAAACCGCGGACGCGACGTCCTTGATCCGAAAATTCGCGGCCCCGCCAAAGCGGGGGTCGGAGCAGAATGGCTGGAGGCGGCCCCTCGGCTGAAGGTTTCCGATGCCCGCAGGGAAGGGATGAAGGCTTGAATCCCGATCGAGCTTCCATGCACTCCACAACTCTTCAACCCTTATGGCTGCGCACAACCCGAGTGGCTCTTGCGATGACAGCCTGCTGATGCAGCAGCTGCCGTTGGAGATGATCCTGGGTACGGGTCTGCAATACTGAAATTTCTTCATGCTAGCTGTGGACACTGCGCAGTCCGGCTTCCAGCAGGACGGTCTCCTTCTCTCAGATCAGATTTCATGCTCTATGGGGTAAGCTGATGGCTTTTCAGGCTTCGGGAAGGACGACTGCAAACAAATGTCAGCACCATGTCCACCACAGCCTCACCGAATCAAAATGTTGTAGCGGATTGAGATCATTTGCACTTCGTCGGCTCATGTGCGCATGAGCGGTTGCCATTCTGCACTCGAAGCGACCCGCGTGGTGACAAGCGGGAA